GGGTATAGAGATGGCCAAAGATGGTGGATAGTAGGGAGGGAAGATAGGAAATAGGAGAGAAGAGGATATAGAAAACTGAAGGACCAGGTAAAGAGAGGGAGGAGAATAGAAAAGGAAGAAAGATGAGAAGAAAAAATGCATATTTACAGGAGTAGAGGAATTGGTAAAAGAAAGGAGTGGAGTGGGGTGGGGTGGAGTGAAGTGAAGTGGGACTTACAATGAACAGAAAATGCTAGAATGAATAAAAAGAAAGTTAAGGAGGAAGGCTGGGGACTGAGGGTTTAAAGAAGTGAATTGGGAAATAGTGAATGGAGAGAGAGAGAGCAGTCTTATATGCTGGAATAGTAGGCATTATTAAACCGCTGAAAGACACACAAACAGACAATACCAGACACATACAGAAGGGCAGACATACACACACACACAGAGACAAAAACAAGACATAGGCAGGAAACAGACCTGAACCTGTACCTACAGAAATAAGCTGAGAGGTGATGAGAGACCAGGGGGGGTGGGGGGTGGAAGTGCGTCCTTACCATCAACACCGTTTCCCTCACCCCTCCGCCTCCCTCTCAGGTGTGGCCCTCACCCCACCCTGGGTCTAAGGTGAAATATGTAGCTTGGGGGTTAATGTGGGTTAAGGGGGGGGGGTGGCTATCTAGGTTCGCTGTGGCCATGTTAATGTGGCTATGGTGATGTGGTGGCCATAGTGAGGTTGAGAGGTCCATGGTGATGTGGAGGCCATAGTGAGTGTTGGAGAGGTCCATGGTGATGTGGAGGCCATAGTGAGGTTGTTGAGCGGTCCATGGTGATGTGGTGGCCATAGTGAGGTTGAGAGGTCCATGGTGATGTGGAGGCTATCGAGTGGACCAACATGGCCAGGGTAATTAACGGTCATTAACTCTAATCATCTTACAATCTTAAAGGATTAGTGATAATTTGCCGACTAATTGACGTGACCATTACTATCTAATTTGGGGTGTAACTGCCTTAGGGCCAGGTGTGGTATGTTGGCCATGATGGTGTTGAGAGATGGCCATTTTGGGGGTCTTCGGGCCATGATGGGTTAAGTCTTATGGTTATGGTAGAGTCAGGATGTGGCCATTGTAGGGTACGGGTGTGGCCATAATAGGGTCAACATATGGTCATTGTAAAATATTTAAGACGTGGCCATGATAAGGTCCGTTTGTGGCCATGGTGAGATAAGGATATAAACATGTTAGTGTCAGGAAATGGTCATGGTAGAGTCATGATATGGCCATTGTAAAATAATGAAAATGTGGCCATATTAAGCTCTGTATGTGGCCAAATAAATGACTAAAATTAATTTGCATATTACAAAAACTAATCCCAATTAATCGAAGGGAAAAAACAATTATAGCCGTAATATAAATAGGGAATTATAGGGAATTATCAACAACAAATGATAGGATTTTTAAAAAGGTAATTATTTCGGATTATAGAAATTATTCCAAATTATCCCATGAATACAAATGCTATCCATAATTCAGGTGGAAATTATATATAATAATTAATAGGTTTTTGGAATTATTAATAGTTTCATATTATAGATTTGGCCCTATGATTTTTATCAACACTCGGGGCTATTGGTAGGTTAAGTTAGGTTAGGTTAGGTTAGCAGACTTATATTGGCCAATTAGTGAAAAAGTTCCACAATACAGGTAGACATTCATTCAGGTAGGTAAGATTAATTAAAGGTGTCTGGAGCTTTGTGTGTGTGTGTGTGTGTGTGTGTGTGTGTGTGTGTGTGTGTGTGTGTGTGTGTGTGTGTGTGTGTTTGTTTGTTTGTTTGTTTGTTTGTTTGTTTGTTTGTCTATTTTCTTGCATAATCTATCATGTCATTACGTTAGGAGGCAATCAATACCAAGACGCTGCCACACACATTCTCTCTCTCTCTCTCTCTCTCTCTCTCTCTCTCTCTCTCTCTCTAATAGGTCAAATGAGCGTCTGTTTAGTCACTGTGTCGAGGTCATTTAGACTGTCGTTGGGTGATGATGATGAAGCATCTTTTATACCCAGTCAGTAATTGCCAGTTACCGGTTACAGGGGTCGTTGGGGGGAGGGGAGAGGTAGTTCGTGTCATTAATCACCAATCATTCCTTCCTGGAGTTGATGAGTCACCAGTCTGTTGTCACCAGTCTTGGGTAACTGGTGAGTGTTTATTTGTATCACTTATTTTGGTTTCTCTCTCTCTCTCTCTCTCTCTCTCTCTCTCTCTCTCTCTTTTCTTTCCTCTTCTCTTCTCTTTCTCTTTGTCTTTGTCTTTCTCTCTCTCTTCTCTTTCCTCTTCTCTTTCTCTTTATGGACAAGTTATTAGTGTTAGTTAAGCCCTTATTTGTTAGCGGTCATTATCTGTGGTCATTTGTGTCTCACTGAACACCTAATTAGTAAGGAACATTAACTAGTAATTAGTGTTTATTGTTTGCTAGTCACCAAGTCATCGTTCCTAGTTACTAGTTATCCTCTTCTATCACTAGATATATCACCATTTATCAGTTACTAGGCATTAGTTCATTAAGCATGGTGACTACTGGCCACTAATCACCATTTACCAATCACTGAGCAATCAATCACCACCCACCTTGAAGACTGAACCAATCACCACCAAGACCTCATTAGCCATTATCATTCATACCTGCATAAATCATTACCATTCATCGACTAAATTACCTTTAAGATGATCAGGATCCAATTACCATGGTGAGCTTTCGTGACCTCCCGAAAAAGTGGGTGGGGGTGGTGGGGCCATTAAAAAAACATTTGTAAAACACTTAGTGACAATTATAGCTCTAGCGTCATTAAGGTTAATTAAAGCGGAAATTATTGACCTCAGATGGTAGTTTGGGGGTGAGAGGAGGGGAGGAAGGGGGATTTATGGGTGGGGGGAGGAGGGAAGGGGGATTATGGCAGGTGAGGGGGGGGGAGGGGTGGACCACGGCTTTGGTTGGGTAATGATGCTTGTGTGAGAGAGAGAGAGAGAGAGAGGTGCGTATGTATATATGTAATATGCATGTATGTATGTATGTATGTAATGTCCTTCATAATTTTTCGTTGTTTTCGGTATTTCACCATTTCGATTTTTATTTACACAGGTATAAATGAGCTTCTATATTTTTTTTTACCTGCCTTCACTAATTGGGTCATTCCGAGCGTGGTATAGTTCGTGTTCCTGGTATACAGTAAGTATTTGCACAGGTGTTTAATGAGTTTTTATATTTTACCTGACCTAGACTGCACACCTGTGGAAATTTACATACGTTTTTTTTATTAGTTATTTCTTACATGACTTAAATTATACACCTGGTAATTTATTCAAGTCTGTCTAGAAGTGTTTTTTTTTTATTTAATCTAATTGATTGTATTTGTCCCCCAGTGTTTTTGTTACTGTTTTTGTTTTGTTGTTGTTGGTGCTGTGTTTGTTGTTGTTGTTGTTGTTGTTGCTGTTGTTGTTGTTGCTGCTGTGTTTGTTGCTGTTGTGTTTGTTGTAGATATTTCAATTGCTGAACTTTATTTGTTATCTTCTTGGAATGGATAATGTTATATTTTATTACCTGTGTAAAAAAAAAAGTCATAAAATCTGTAAAAAAAAAAAATATAAGGTGTAAAAAAAAAAACATTATAAAATTTGCAAATAAGAAAAAATTACATATCAAAAATATCTTTAAAAAACTCGGTGGGGATTATATTAAATTATACCCATGTAATAATAACAGAAAAGGTAAATAATAATTCCTATTTTACATCATGAAGCGGAATTGTGGAGTGATTTCGCCATTACTGTACCGGCATAGGAACTAAACTGAAATTAATACTCGGGGAGGGGGAGAGGGGAGTGGGGGAGAGGGGGAGAGGAGTGGGTGAGGGGGGAGGGGAGTGGGTGAGGGGGAGGTAAATTAATTCCGATGGCGTATGAGTGTCATTAAACGTTGGTGTATTTATTATTAATACTTGACGATGTATAACTGTATGTATGATACTGAGTGCGTGTCTCTCTCTCTCTCTCTCTCTCTCTCTCTCTGTCTCTCTGTCTCTCTGTCTCTCTGTCTGTCTCTCTGTCTGTCTGTCTGTCTGTCTGTCTCTCGCATTGAAACAGCGAAGGAGAAAGCACTTAGTTGAAAGCTTTCCTTGAGTGTTAATAACTAATTTGCATATACTCCAAGACGCTCTTAGCCAGTGGATAAAGCCCAGTTGTGATGCAAAAGGAATGCTTGATGAGGTGGTTCGTGTCAGAGGTGGCAGGGAGGTGTGCCACGGTGGTATGATGTCACAGAGAGAGAGAGAGAGAGAGAGAGTACACATATTTCATCTTTACTATTTTATATTTTGATTTTATTTTCATCTTCTTTCTTTCATTCTTTGTTTAGCCTTTCCCTTAATATGTGTGTGTGTGTGTGTGTGTGTGTGTGTGTGTGTGTGTGTGTGTGTGTGTGTGTGTGTGTGTGCGCGTGTGTGTGCGCGTGCGTGTGCCCCATTCGTGTTCATTATCTTTATTTCACGTTTTGCTTCACATATCTTTCTCTTGTTTCCTGCTTTTCTGTTTCCACTTTCTTAACCTCTCTTACCTTCTCTTCTTCCTCGTTTACTTATTCTCCGTTTCGTTTCGCTTTGGTTCAGTGTCTTGTCGTTTATTTCATCTTTTCACTTTTTTTTATTTTTTATTAATTATTATTATTATTATTATTATTATTATTATTATTATTATTATTATTATTATTATTATTATTATTATTATTGTTGTTGTTTTAGTTATTTTTATTGTTATAGTTGTTATTATTATTATTATTATTATTATTATTATTATTATTATTATTATTATTATTATTTTGGTCAGGTGTGAGAGGCAGAAATAGACAGGTAATTCATTAATTAATCAATCAACAGACTCGTCACCTGTATGTAAAATTAATCATTAGGGCGACGCATTTTAAATTAGATCAACCGGATTTAAATGATCTTATTTTTTTTTTACTGTGATTCCCTTAATAAGAAATAGAGGGCCGGGTGGATGAGGGCCGGGTGGACGGGGGCCGGGTGGATGAGGGCCGGGTGGACCGTGGCCGGGTGGATGAGGGCCGGGTGACTGGGGGCCGGTGGACGGTGGCCGGGTGGATGAGGGCCGGTGACGGTGGCTGGGTGGATGAGGCCGGGCGGTGGCTGGGTGGATGAGGGCCGCGGACGGTGGCCGGGGTGGATGAGGGCCGCGGACGGGGCCGGGGTGGACGGTGGCCGGTGGATGCGGGCCGGGTGATTTGGGGCCGGGTGACAGGCCGGTGGATGAGGTCGGGTGGACGGGGGCCGGTGGATTGGTGGCCGGGTGGACGGGGCCGGGTGGACGGGGGCCGGTGGACGGGGGCCGGTGACGGTGCCGGGTGGATGAGGGCCGGGTGGATGAGGGCTGCGATGCGCCGGTGACGGTACGGGATGGACGGTGGCCGGATGGACGGTGGCCGGGGTGGACGTGCGTGACGGTACGGGTAATTAGTATTGGTGCTCATTTAGGCTTGTTTACTCTCTGGAGCCGATTATTAATTGGGACGTAATTGACACACTTAAGCTGTTGTCATCCGGAAGGAATCGACTAATTTTTAGGGTAAACCTTAGCGTTGTTTTATTATTATTATTATTATTATTATTATTATTATTATTATTATTATTATTATTATTATTATTATTTTGAATATATTGTGATAGCGAGTGTATAGGGATTTACACCTACTGTAAATTGAGTTGTAAATGTAATTAGGATTTGATAGGTACTAATAGTAGGAACTTTATGTAAATGTCCATGATTGGAATTTCGTAAGCATATGGGCAGGAGAGAGAGAGAGAGAGAGAGAGAGAGAGAGAGTATTCGTGGTGTCACAAATTAAAATATCTTTAATTCCAATATGTCAGGTGTGTATATAACTAAAGATTTGTTAAATTATAAACTAAAGGTAAAAAATTATAAATAAACTCGAGAACCTGAATTAAACTAACACAATGGTACGGTTTTAACACCTGTCACGTAATAACACTGCACCTGTGACTTAACTAATTAATTAACATCGATCCAAAACAAATGATACACCTGTTCTCCTAAGCTACTCTGATCTACGCTAATTTGCAAACCATTACAGGAAATCACTAGCGTATATTAACGTACGTACGCAAACTACAACGTTTAGGTGTTAATACTAAAATACCTTCGAGTTACTGAATGACGCCGGGTATTACTCAGGGATTTATTTAAGTATTATGGTAATTCTGACTGGTGTTCACTTAATCCCTAATACCAGGTGATTTACCCAAGGATAAATTCTCCTACATTGCTATATCCATTTATCCTGACACGTAATACGAGGGGATTTGACCAAGTTTAGAAATACACACACACACAGACACACACATTCTCTTCTTGCCTGTCTGTCTGTCTGTCTGTCTGTCTGTCTCAACAATCTACTCTTCGCTGACCGTCGTGTTGGTGTTGTCTGTCTATGGAAATCCTCACGTGTTGGAGTAAAGGTTGTAGGAGGTTAGGTTAGGTTAGGTTAGGATAGGTTGGGTTAGGTTTGGTTGGGATAGGTTGGGTTAGGTTGGGTTAGGTTAAGTGACTGGGAGATGGCTTTGTTGATCCCCTGTTGATAGTGATAACCTGTTTATATTACTGTGTGTCTAGTTGGAGAGAGAGAGAGAGAGAGAGAGAGAGAGAGAGAGAGAGAGAGAGTAATAAGAACATTTTACGGTATATTGATAAAGATAATGATGATAATGATAATAAACATGATGATAGTGATGATAATAGGTTAATTTAGGTCGTAATAATAATAATAATAATAATAATAATAATAATAATAATAATAATAATCATAATAAAAGAAGAAACAGAGAATATAACAATACTACTACTACTACTTTTTTTTTAACGTGGCCTCCAGCCTCCCCCAATAGCCACACCTTCGCCGCCATTTTATTACCTTAATATTAAATATCCTAATACTTAAGTAGCTATCCTATCTGTGTTGAATTAGTTGAGCCGCAGATCTATGCGGCATTCAGTGACTGTAGCCTCATAGTCAATATCTGCAGCAGTTGTCGGCATTGGGGCAGAAGCTCTCGTTCCCCTGAGGCAGAGAAAAGCCGACCGAAGGAGACAGGACAGTCGACATCTCATCCAGGCTGTAACATAACTTCTGGGCTGCTGCTTCTGTTCGGAGATCACCTCTGCGAGTCTGGCGTAGAAACATATTGCACTTGGTCCCATCCCACCAGAGGTTGTGAACACTAGAGGAGTGAAGCTGCCTTGATCAACGTTTTGAATTCTCTCCCCATATGCCCTTCTCTTGTCGTTCTCGTTCCTCCTATGTGCAGCATCGAGAGCTAGGTTACGGTGACATGCAGCCATGGGATCAAAAATCCTGATGTCGAAGAAGGCTCGCTGTCCCCGCGTCCAGAATCCTCAAGCACTGACGTCAACCTGGGTTTCGTTAGATGTGTTTGAAGTCCTATGTTGGAAGATCTCACCATCCAATTGAAGGAGGGTCGGTTCTACCATGACATCCCGGCAGATTTCCTTCAACATATTTGCTGTGAGGTCCCTTACTTCGTCATGCCTCATGCATATGAAGCCCCCTTTCTTGCACACCATGGCGTGATCGAAGTCAAAGGAAATGCCACACACGCATTGGGAGGGCAAACCTTCTACTGGCCGACCGTACCTTAGAGCAATGGCATCTGTAAATTCTTGTTTATTAAGACTGAAACCATTTGCCCTTATCGGTAGCGTAGTTAACCAGTACGAGGCGCCCACCTCCTGCGCTATAGCTACTTTTTTTTCACATTTTCTGGTACCTGCAGCAACAGTTGCTGCAACTTATCATTTTGGCAGGGCTGTCGATCTGTCGTAATGGACCTACGAATCTTGTTTACTTCACTGGTATCCACCTCCCCTGTTGCGTTCTGAGCTATTATGTGGTCCGTGAGGGCTGCCGTGAGCTTAAGTGAGTTTTGATGTTCGGTGGCTGCAATCTCCTCTGGATTGGTTAGTCCCATTCCTCCCAATCTTGATGGAAGTGCAAGAAGTGCTCTTTCTGCTGGGGTTAAGTAAGGGTGTTTCACTAATTTGGGAATGAAATTGTGACACTGATAGCTTCTTCCAGAGGGTGGAGGAGGCGTTCGATATCAGGAATAGTACTACTACTAATACTACTACTACTACTACTACTACTACTACTATTACTACTACTATTACTACTATTACTACTACTACTACTACTACTACTACTACTACTACTACTACTACTACTACTACTACTACTACTACTACTACTAATAATAATAATAATAATAATAATAATAATAATAATAATAATAATAATAATAAAATCAATCATACTATTTCCGTCACATCATCTTTACTCCTACATAACCAAGCGAAGTGTGTGGTGTTTGGCTAATGGACAACACGTGCTCCTAGTTAAAGCTGTTTTGATTATACCACGTTGAAAATTATCAACCATTTCTCTCTTGGTTATTATACGAGACGGAATTATAGACTTGGGTGTTATGGTATTGATATTGGAACCTGTGTGAATGTTAGGTTAGGTTAGGTCAGGTCAGGCTAGGTCAGGTCAGGTCAGGTCAGGTCAGTCTAAAATGTCTTTGTTATTGTCTCACCATGATGCAATGAGACTGTCTTAAGTGTTCGTGTGTGTGTGTGTGTGCGCGTGTGTGTGTGTGTGTGTGTGTTCGTGTGTGTGTGTATGTTCGTGTGTGTGTGTGTGTGTGTGTGTGTGTGTGTGTGTGTGTGTGTGTGTGTGTGTGTGTGTGTAATAATGAGTTCACTTTATAGCACAGTTTAAATATTCATGCTTTTTTTCCCATGAATTCTTGTATTTGTATCTGTATAAATCTGTATTTTGTTCTGATAAACTGTATTTGAATAAATTGTAAAAGATTTTGACTACAGAAATTCATAGAAGGAAATACAAAATACAGGTGGTTGTTGCTTGTGTCGTGAGAACTACCAATTTCAAATATATTAATCAATTTTATTGGTGTAATTGATAGCAAAGGTGTTTCTAATTGTCCATAAACTTAATTACAGGTAGAAGGTTCATGACTCAATAAAGTTCAAGACTCAGTTCAATATTGGTTTAAACTTTCATTTATAGGTTTATATTTGGTTAAGTTTTAATGTTTCTTATTTTATGATGGGTTTTAATTTCTTGTTTTTTATTTCAGGTTGGTGTCCAGCTGCGGTATTTAACGCGTCCAGCTGCTGTACTTAGCGTGTCCAGCTGCGGTACATAACGTGTTCAGCTGCAGTGTGTTGTGGTGAGATGCTGTACTTAGCGTGTCCAGCTGCTGTACTTAGCGTGTCTAGCTGCGGTACATAACGTGTTCAGCTGCAGTGTGTTGTGGTGAGATGCTGTACTTAACGTGTCCAGCTGCGGTACCTAACGTGTCCAGCTGCAGTACTTAACGCGTACCAGCTGCAGTACTTAACGCGTACCAGCTGCAGTACTTAACGCGTACCAGCTGCAGTACTTAACGTATACCTAACTGCTATATCTTGCGGTGAGATACACTTCCTAGGTAGATAAATCCTGTGATCTTACCCCAACAAACCACCTATCTTACACCACACCTCACCCAGTGGTAGATACTGTCTCTCACAACATCAAGGATACAAATGCTTTAGCGATCCTTGAAGCACATTAGCTAACCTGAGGCAATCCCACAGGCCAGGTTTTTTTTAATGAAATTCCTTGTTGTTGTTATTGTATTCCCCCAATTACAATTTCTTAAGTCTCTCTCTCTCTTATTCTTAGTTATTATAATCTTACTTGTTTGTTATGTAGTATGGATATTAATTTTTTTTTTAGTTATGTATGCCTGTTGTAAAGTGTATGGTCTCGAATGCCATATTTAGGGGCATTACAAGGCATTATCAATATCAAGGCATACACAATTCTACCAAATACTTCATCACTTGTATTTAATCTTGGGACGTAAAAAAAATTCTGTAGGTTGAGATTTATTGTTGAAATTATTTTGGTAACTTGAAGAAAACAAAAGGTAAAGGAGGTTGTATGGATGGATGGCTGGATGGATGGATGGCTGTATGGTGGATGGATGGCTGTATGATGGATGGATGGGTGGATGGATGGCTGTATGGGTGGATGGATGGCTGTATGGATGGATGGATGGGTGGATGGATGGCTGTATGGATGGATGGATGGGTGGATGGATGGCTGTATGGTGATGGATGGCTGTATGGATGGATGGATGGGTGGATGGATGGGATGGATGGATGGATGGATGGATGGATGGTGTATGGATGGATGGTGGATGGATGGATGGATGGATGGCTGTATGGGTGGATGGATGGATGTTGATGGATGGATGGATGTTGGTTCACCATTCATACTAAAGATGATGACACCATTTGCCTCTTCCTCGTTTACTTTATATTGTCTTCTTTCCTCTCTCCACCTCTCTCTTCGCCTCCTCT